ACCCATATAAAAGAATTCATAAGTTAACAAAATATAAATTTAGTCTTAGGCTTGATAAGAATGTCTTTTGGCTATTTTGAAAATGAGGGATTTTGAGGATCCAAGATTAGGAGAAGTAGTGTAGAGGAGAGCACTCTTTGGTTTAAGGCTCTTTCATTGAATACAAAAATAGCTTATTTAAAAAAGTAAGATTTTTTAAAACAAGTAACTCATTGAAAATATAGGAAACTATAGCAAGAGAAAACTACAGGATGTTCACTTCCTTCTGAAATCCAAAATGTTATAGAACAGTATAAAAAATGGCATACTGAAACTGTCAGTTATCTAAGTAATATATGAATATGTTCTTGAACAAATTCAAGCAATTCAGAAATAGAGTAACAATCAAAAGAGCCCTTTATCCCACTCATCTTAAGAAGTATTAGATTTTAAAAAATGTAGGATTGTGGCTTATTTTTTCAGAAATCAATACTGTAAATGTCTGTCAGTCTCTCATGTGCACGCGTACACACACAGTGACTGGACACGTAAGTAGGAAGTTTGTAAGGCTTCAGTGCACAACCGTCTTGAATAGAGTGTACATATTTGACTATATTTTAATTTTTCCTTTATAGTAATATGTAAATCTGATACATTTTAAGATGCTTAGACAAATTCAGATTTTTTTTAGATAAACTAGGTTTTCTGAAAATGTATCATAGGACTTAATGAATTTAAACTAGGACATACGTATTCCTCTACCTTGTGTATATTTAATATTTTTGTTCTTAAATACAGTCATGTGCCGCATAGTGACTTTTTGGTCAACAACAGATACAACACTTACACGACGGTAGTCCCGTAAGATTAGCACCATGTAGCCCAGGTGTATATAGCCTGTACCATCTGGGTTTGTGTGAGTACATTCTGTGATGTTCACACAATGGTGAAATTGGCTAACAACACTTCTCAGCCCATATCCCTGTTGTTAAGCGATGCGTGACTGTGTTTTGATAACTTTGTGAAATAATTCTTCTAGTGTTATTTTTTAAATGTTAATCTTTTCTCATTCTGTTAGTTGATTGAATCAACAAGCACTATGGATGGAGCAATTGCTGCTGCCTTGCTGATGTTTGGTGATGCAGGTATGTCCGACTTAGTTTCAAGACAAGTTGATATATTAGTTATATAATAATGAACATCTTCTCATTTTTAATATTGCTCTACAATTTACCAAGCTCCCTCATGAATTCTTAGAGGAGCCTTATGAGGTATTAATAGCTTCAGGTTTTTTAGACGGTTGAGTTAAAGTTAACCTTAAGAAGATTAAGTGACTTACCTAAGGTCATACAGCTATTTGGGAACTGAATTTTCTGGGTTGATTTTTTTTCACCCCCATAAAAGAGGAGAGGTGGTTTTTCATTGTAATTTTATTTGTTTTCTACAGATGAAATCTCGTATCAGTGAAGTTTTAGACGGCATATTTTCTTTCTTGTGTCCTTTCTAATTGCATTGTGGTTTTATTTACAGGTCTGCAAATCTGTGTCAGTAGGAACATAATGTCTTGTGGAAAGTCCTAGCTGGTAATCAGCATTCCTTCATTTAGTAAATATTTATGCTATGTTCCAGGCTTGAGATACAAAAATAAATGCACTCAAAGGAGCTTGCAATATAAAACCACCTCCAATTTTTTTAATAAATGCTATCTAGATTTTTTTTTCTCACTTGTACATACCAAACAAAAAATAACCTGTAATCACACTACAAAAAATGTATTTAAGGAATGAAAGCAAGCCCATATGCATTAACCACTTTTAAATTTGCTTTGTATAGCATTCTCCAACTTTTCCTATTCTTATACACAACATTATATAATACATACACATTAGGGTACAAAATGTAATTACAATGTTGATTTGGATTAAAAAAAATCATTTGATGATTTGTCACGGCAACCCATCAGTACAATCAGATATATCTAATTAAAAACAATGGCTCCATAACATTCCTCTGTGACTACCCATAGGATTAGTTTATTATTTCTCTATTAATTTGCATTTGTTTGCATTATTTCTTATTCTAGTATTGAAATAAATAGCCTTATAAGTAAATCTTTATGTTAGTATTTCTGTAGGCTAAATGTCAAACTAGAATGCTAAATCATAGGGTATGCACATTCAAAATTTTAATATGTACTTCCATATTACTTTTTTAAGCGTTGTGCCAGTTTATGCTTTCATCAACAGTGTGTGAATAAATGCCCGTTTCCCTAAGTGGATTTTTTCCAGTTTTTAAAATTTTTTTTGAAACTTAAAAATATATACAAAAATACAAAATAGTATAATATGTTCCCATTGGCCCATCCTCTCTCTTTAACAATTATCTACCTCTTTTTACCCCCACTAAGTAGATTATATTAGAGTAGATTCCAAAGATGATATTATTTCATTCACATGATGTATTTTAATTCTAATTTTCTCCACTTTGAGCAAAGGAACAGTATTGTGTTGTGTGGTGTGTGGGAGCTGTCTACACAGAATGTTAAGATTCTTCCTTTTATTTACTAGCTGTGTGACCTTGGGCATTGTTACTTAACTCTTCTATGTGTCTGTTTCCTTAGAAGTAAAATAGTATGATAAAAGTACCAAACTCATAGGTTGTTGTGATCAAGTTAATGTGCAGTTCTCATGGTGCGTGATATATAGCAAGTACGTAGCGTGTGTTCGTGGTTACTTGTTCTGGAGGGCCGTCTGATGATGAAGATGGTGCAGGAGAAGGCTGCCCTTGTCTTCCTCATGACCATACCCTAGCGCTTGCTGTAAGTTCCTGAGGGAGGCTCAGTAACATTTGCTGAGTTACAGAATGGCTAGGACATTTTACATATTCTTTCCTGTCCTCATATCTCAATATTCCATAATCTTTCCATTGAAAAATTTGTAGAATAACTTTACTCCACAGTAGTGTCTAATTTTGTTTTCTCTTGAGCAGTTTATGTCGTTCAACTTATTCATTAGTTTAACAAATAATTATTGTGCACCTACTGCTCAGTGCCAGATGCTACTTTAGGCACTGAGGATACGTAAGGAAACAAAATGGACAAAACCCTGCCCTCATGGAGTTTACACTCGCCGTTAAATTTGAACTTCAGCTGAGTTTTTTTCTTCTCATTCTTATACTGTACTTTGATGTTATTTCTTTTTAAAAAAATGTTACGTGGCAAATTACAAGGAAAGAGGATATCAGGGTTTCCTTGTTTTTTAAGTAAACTTCCATGCTTCCTCTTGGAATGGACAGGAAGTCATATCAGTCATTTTCATCGTTACACTTTTGAGGTGATGTATGGGATGACAGCTTTGTCTCACCAAAATAAGATAACCTTCAATATACTGTATCATCAGGATGAGAAGTATTTTTGATATATTAGGACAGTTTTCAACAAAAGGCCTTTTAAACACCTGTAAGAGTTCTTAGTTCCACAAATCATGATGTTGGACATTGTTTTTACCCCAAATTATAATCTTTTATAGACAGTATCATCCTGCATATTAAAGAATAAGGATGTCTTTTATGCGTTGTCTTCTGAAAGTTTTCATTTATGAATACTAAGTTATAAAAACAAAAAATATATATCCAAAGTTTTAACCCTACTTTAAAAGGTAAAAATAGAATTTATTGATCTTGCCAGGAGTTTCTATAGCTATTTCTTCCACTTCTCTATATCTGTATGAGTAGTCAAAACATTTTTATGTGACTGTCATCTTGTTATATCTACTGTTTTGTAACCTTTTCATTTATTAGAAACATCTTTCCAGGGCCGGCCCGGTGGCGCAGCGGTTAAGTTCGCACATTCCGCTTCTTGGTGGCCTGGGGTTCGCTGGTTCGGATGCCGGGTGTGGACATGGTACCTCTTGGCACCCCATGCTGTGGCAGGCGTCCCACATATAAAGTAGAGGAAGATGGGCAGGGATGTTAGTTCAGGGCCAGGCTTCCTCAGCAAAAAGAGGAGGACTGGCAGTAGTGAGCTCAGGGCTAATCTTCCTCAGAAAAAAGAGACATCTTTCCATGTTATTTTATTTTTAAAAGTATACCTTTGGGGCCGGCCCAGTGGCGTAGTGGTTAAGTTTGAATGCTCTGCTTCAGCAGCATGGGTCACAGGTTCAGATCCCAGGTGCAGACCCAGCACCATTTATCGAGCCTTGCTGTGGCGGCGTCCCACATAAAATAGAGGAAGATTGTCACATGGGTTAGCTCAGTGACAATCTTCCTCAAGCAAAAAAAGAAGAGGAAGAATGCCACTAGATGTTAGCTCAGGGCCAGTCTTCCTCACCAAAAAAAGGAGGAAAGAAAAGTCTGCCTGAGTCTTTGTAACCGTGGCATTTATGTTTGTATCCTAATTTATGTAATATCTTATTGATGGGTATTTAGACACTTTGGTAGAATTTTGTATGTATGCAAAGTGATAGAAAATGCACGCTTTATGTCAGTTTTGTGGAATAAATTTCTAGAAATTTATAAGGATTTTTTTTTTTTTTTTGACGAAGATTAGCCCTGAGCTAACATCTGCTGTCAATCCTCCTCTTTTTGCTGAGGAAGACTGGCCCTGAGCTAACATCCGTGCCCATCTTCCTCTACTTTATATGTGGGATGCCTACCACAGCATGGCTTGCCAAGTGGTGCCATGTCTGCACCTGGGATCCAAACCAGCGAACCCCGGGTCGCTGAAGTGGAACGTGCGCACTTAACCGCTGTGCCACCAGGCCAGCCCCAGGAATTGTTGGACTTAAAAATATACGCATCTAAAATTCTGAGATGTATTATTTAGATTGCCTTCCAGAAGAGCTGTGACAATTCATAATGTTTAAAAGTGCCTATTTGCCCACAGTCTGCTCGGACTGTCCATTCACTGCTCTTTACTCTTGGGGAAAAAAAAAAAACTACTATATTTTATTATTTAATTAATTAATGAGGTTAAGCATCTTTTCAGTTTTTTTCCTGTTGAACTGCCTACTTGTGTTCTTTTTTCATATTTTCTTTAATTTCATGTTTTATTTTTCATTTTTGACTATTGTATTTAGGTGAAATTTATTTTTATCTGGAGTGTGAGATACATCCCTAACTTAGTTTTTTTTTCCCCCTGAAATTGATGATGGGGATTCCCAATAAAAGATGAGAATTTGTGAAATACATAATTTAGAAGTGGTATTTAGTGTAGAATATTAACTTGTTTTCTTTAGATATATGCAAAATTTTTAATTGATAATTATAAGTAGAATAGATTTAGATGTAGATAACTGAGCATTGTGTGCTCTTATGTAACCTTTTGTACTAAAATTTTAGTTGTACATTTTCTCCCACATTTATTTGCAGATTTTTGCCTTGTAGCCATTTCATATCTGTGTGAAGATTTGATGACATAATATTAACAAAACAAAAACCATGTATAAGCAGATAACTAAAACTCGAGAGTTTTTTATTGACAAAGCAAAGCTCTTGTTCCTTTTAGGAAAGAATTAAACATGGCTTGGTGACATGGCATAAATCTTCTAGTTTGAAGCTTTTCTCAGACTTATTTACGAGCAGTACTCACCTGTCCTCAGCAAATAGATAGGTGATGATGGGATGGTGCTGATCATATAGGTGATGGTGGAATGGTGCTTATATTTAGCCCTTTTTAAAGCAGATGCTGGAAATTAGTTGGCATATGTAGAATGAACATTTACTTTATGAAGCAAATTGGGAGAAAAAAATTTAAGCATTCATACTAACGTGTAATTACTATAAAATATTAATGGCATTTAATTTCATTATAGCCATATTATGAAATTTTTAGGCTTACAACTTAAAAGGTGTCATGTTTGTATTCATTTTGAATATTCTATTTCTACACATTTTATTTCTAATTGCATAGAGGACTAATATAATTAATACTGAAATCTGAAACCATTATAAGCTTTAGCAGATGCTTTCTTTTTGGGGGGGAAGAAAATAATTATGTATTATCTACTTATATGCCAACTACATTCTTATTTATTGTGTCTTTTAATTATCACAAGATGTCTGTGAAATAGCTGTCATTATTCAGAATTTTACAGATGAATATATTAGGGCTTAGATAAATTAGATAATTCTGCTAAAGTCACACACTAAGTGATGGTGCTTGGATTCAAACCCATGAGGTTTTGATCCTACGATCTCAGTCACTTTGAATTGTAGCATGTTGCCTCATTCATTACTTTGAGTGTGAAAGCACACACCACCAGGCAGAGGTGCCCTTTTCCTTTACCATTTAGATCTTACGTATTCTGGTAACTTTTTTTTTGCATTTGGACTTATTTTTTATTCTTTTTTTCAGGTGTACATCATTATATTTCAGTTTCTGTATATATTACATCATGTTCACCACCTAAAAACTAATTGCCATCCATCACCATATACATATAGCAGATGCTTTCATACTAGCACAGCAATATATCTCTGGAATTTGCTCTCTGAAAGTGAAAGTATTTAAGAAATAGATAAATGTGTACAAAGTATAAATATGTTACATAACTGCTTAAGATATGTAAATTGAGTTTTTCTTTCAGCCGTGACAAAATATGCAAATTTCCTATTGCCGTTGTACTCTCTTATTTTTAGGTTAAGAGCGTGACTCGCTTGAGCTCTCAATATCTCGGTTCCTCCTCATTTAGAAAATGAGAATATTACCTACTTTGTAGGTTCGTTGTGGAATCTAAATGAAACAACAGTTAAAAACGCCTTCTGCAAAGCCTGGTCCGTAGTAGACACAATGATTGGCGTCAGTAATGTATTCAGATAACCACAGTGATGGGGCTCTGCTTTTTCACTGCTGAACGCTCAGTCACTGGGCAGAACCCCTTCCTCCCAGTGTTGTTCTGTAAAATTACTAGTCAGTTTAGAGATGTATATTTTCAGCATTGAATAATGTGATGGTTTACAGATACGTTTTTACAGTGATTTCTACTTTTGAAAGACTGAAAAAGAGTCTCTGTTCACTTTTTCTTCAATTCACTTGACATTTATTGAGTATATGCTACATGTAGAGGAAATGACATTGGGCTTGATGTCAAGAGAACTGTCTACAGATGTACTCATTATAACATTCTGCCTTTGTATTGCATTAATGATTCTTATGATATCTGTGCAAACATTGAGTGTCCTCCTCTGTTTTAGAAGGTGGTGGACCCAGGAAAAGAAAATTATCTTCTTCTTCAGAGCCGTATGAGGAAGATGAATTTAATGATGATCAATCTATAAAAAAGAAAAGACTGGATCATGTAAGTTACATTTGACTTGTGGTATCAAAATTAGCTGGGAAGCACAGAATATGTTGAGTCTAGATATCAGACCTGAAAATACACCTAAATGAATCAGTCTTCTCTCTCACAGCTAAGCCAGAAAATTGATGTTTGCATTTCATTTGTGACTGTTTTTGCTTTCTTTTAAATTTGTCCAGTATTAATTGCTTATCTCTGAGTTATAAAATTCATTTAAAAAAATATTCTAGGGGCCGGCCCAGTGGCGTAGTGGTTAAGTTCACACATTCTGCTTCGGCGGCCCAGGGTTCGCCAGTTCGGATCCCAGGTGCAGACATGGCATCACTTGGCAAGCCATGCTGTGGCAGGCATCCCACATATAAAGTAGAGGAAGATGGGCATGGATGTTAGCCCTCGGCCAGTCTTCCTCAGCAAAACGAGGAGGATTGACAGCAGATGTTAGCTCAGGGCTAATCTTCCTAAAAAAAAAAAAAAATTTTCTAGTGGTATGGTAAAATAACTTAGGAAAATATACTTTTAAATTTTATTTCATAAAAGTTATAGATATATATATATGAGTGTACAACACTTAGGAAGATAACTGTTAACTGCCACCAGCACCATTTCCTCCTCCCTGGTGGCAACTACTTATACTTCTTCTAAATGACTTCTTTGACATTTATCTGCTTATCTACAAATAATAGTGGTTGTGCTCTTATGGATGACTTTAGTTTTCCATTAACTTTTTTACTTTATGAATAGAAACTACTAAGAGGCCTCGCAGTGAATCTGGACACAGTCCTCCCTGTCTGCAGTCATGACAACACAGCTTCTTCTGGGTCATCAAAATCAGTCACCCCAGCCAGCACAGTAACCTCCTTCTTTGCCTGTGATTTAGTGACATAAGAATCCCTCAATAGCCAGGTGGCAATCTCTACCCTAATTGAATGGGGACAGTTGTAACCCTCCATGGAAGCACTCTTCCCTTAGGAGCTAATGTTGAAGGGAAGTAAAAATTCTGTGAGTGGGTCTTTAGGTATGAGGAATAGCTGTGATGGAAGATACTGGGCCTGTGTTTTAGTACAGACCTATGTATAATGGCTGTGGGAAAAAGTGCATTATATTGATTGCTGATTCATAACTTTTGCTTTGCTTGTGAACAGCAAAGCTTGTGAACATCCTGTTGAACAGCACATTAGCCTTGTAGGATGCTATCAACAAGTGTACATTCTGAATTTTCAGAGTGATACCACTGTTTTGTAAGCCATCTGCTTCTAGGTGTTGAGGCACATGGTGAGATCAGTGAATTCCATGAACATGGATCCATTGATGTACTTTTCTTCCAGTGAAATTAGCTCCCTGGTCAGAAACACTGTTGTGTCACGATGTACTGGGACTGTGAATTTGACTTTCCTTGTATCTGTAGATGAGGTATTAGTTTCCTAAGACTCCCATAACAAAGTACCACAAACTGTGGGGCTTCAACAGCAGACATATATTGTCTCACAGTTCTGGAGGATAGAAGACCAAGATCAAGGTGGCGGTCACATGGTTAGTTCTTTCTGAGGGGTGTTCCATCCTGCTGTCCTAGATTCTAATGGTTTCTGGCAATCTTTGGTGTTCCTTGATTTGTAGATCTCTGCCTTCATCTTCACATTGTGTACTTCCTGTGTGCTTCTCTGTCTCTGAATTTCCTCTTTTGGGGCCGGCCCCATGGCCAAGTTGTTAAGTTCACATGCTCTGCTTCGGCAGCACAGGCTTTCACCGGTTCACATCCTGGATGTGGACATGGCACCGCTCATCAGGCCATGCTGAGGCGGTGTCCCACATGCCACAACTAAAAGGACCCACAGCTAAAAAATATGCAGCTATGTACTGGGGGGATTTGGGGAGAAAAAAGCAGAAGAAAAAAAAAGATTGGCAACAGTTGTTAGCTCAGATGCCAATCTTTAAAAAGAAAATTTTCTCTTTTTATAAGGACACTAGTCATTAGATTAGGGCCCACCCTAATCACCTCACTTTAACTTGATTACCTCAGTAAAGACCCTGTCTTCAAATAAGGTCACATTCTGAGGTACTAAGCATTATTCAACATGAATTTTGGAGGGACACAGTTCAACCCATAACCGGTGTTGCCAAAAGCAAGTGGGTAGGGAAAAGTAATTTGTACTCAGAGTAGGTTTCTATTACTGTCTCTTCCACAATGAAAGGAATCCAGTGTAATCAACTTGCCAGCACACAGTTGACTGAATCTCCCAAGGAATGGTGCTATCATGGGAACTCATTGTCGCCCTGTGCTCTTGGCAGGTCAAATATTCACCAGTTGCGATAGCCACATAAGTCTTGGTGTGGGACAGTGATATTTTGTTGATCTGCCTGCTTAACCTCAGTCCCTGTTGCCATGGGCATTTATTATAGACCATTGAGCAAGCATCCGAGTGGCTACGGTCTTATTGGTGTTCACAGAATGAATCATCTCGTCCACATGATTCGTAAAAACTTCCTCTACAATAGACACCCTTTGCTGAGCAGTCACATTGAACACTGTTATCCTTGCCTTCTGTTCTTGGAAAAACTTACGAGAAGTTCAGCAATGCATCTCTTCCTCAGACTTGTAGTCATTGATCTTCCATTCTTGTTCTTCTCCTTAGCTATTCTCTATGATATATCATTGATCTGTACCTCTGGCCATTTCCTTCTATACAAAATTGACAAAGTTGTGCACAGGGCTACTGTCTTAAATGTGATTATATTATAGCAGTTGTTCATTTTCAGCTGGTTCTAACAATTAGGTAAACCTTTTGTAAACAAGTTCAGATTTTTCTCCCGCTTTATCTGATCATAAAGAAGTCCCCATAGTGCCTTAGATATTGGTTGAAGGAGGGGCATCAGCAAAGCAGAAGTAAGTCCCGTGGGAGTTACTTCTGCACATGCAACTTATTGGAGCTTCATGCACCTGCTCAAGTCCAGTCTCAAATATACTCCACTTGTTGATGGGTGGCTGCTGCTCATGCTGTTTTAGGCTTGGTGGATAAGATACCCAGATCACGTAACAGCTCGTGTCTCATGGTCACTTGATGTCCCATGGCCCATCATTCTGGTCCTCTCAGAACCCCCTATCAAGCCAACAGTTGTTTCACAAAAATGGATCAGTCTGTTCTGTTTTAAAAAGGTGAATTTGTTCCAGTGCAGTAATTACGTTAGAAAACAGAGTGTATCCTGAATTTTGTGTTGTCTAGGTAGAAGTTTGTCTATGAGAAATGCTAGGTGAACACAGAGAACTGCACCTAGCTTAACTGGCCACATAGGAATACAACACACACACCTCAGACATCTGCTGGCCGGGTCAGTTCACCACGTTTGTTATCCCACAAGATTGTGTTTTGTTATTCTTTCACATTTGTGAACTTTTCTGTTTGAAAAAAGCACTCATTCAGCCTCCCAAACATATCTAAGCATTCTCATTCAAAAATACCAAGCAGTAGATATGAAAGGAAAGTTTTAGGTGTTGAGCGGAGGCTTGAAACAAACATTTGGAAAGAAATGAGAACATGAGATACATATACCTTGAGCAGCAGGCGTAGAGGAATCCACACTGTGGACCATTAGAGACAGTGCTACAAAAATAAAAGTATATAGCTGGGTCATCTTCAAATGCTGTGAAGTCAGTGAGAACGGTCATAAAGAAATAGAAGGAGGGCCAGCCCTGTGGCCACGTGGTGAAAGTTCTGCGTTCTCTGCTTCGGCAGCCCAGGTTTATGGGTTTGGATCCCGGGTGAGGACCTGCTCTACTCATCAGCCATGCTGTGGAGGCATCCCACATACACAACATAGAGGAAGTTTGGCACAGATGTTAGCTCAGGGCTAATCTTCCTCACCAAAACAAATAGAAAAGGAAAGACTTGAGCATTTGAATTAAAGACCAGAGAGTGAAAAAATCAGAAACAACCTTTTTCATGTGGATCTCTATATCTGTATACAAAGACCTTAAACAGAAATCAATCCTGGAAAGCTTACCCTCTTTTAGTGCCGGTAATGGTTGCGTTAGTGGTTTCAAACAATGCTGTAAATTCCTAAGCCATCAACTGTCACATGAAGCTATGAGTGCAGATGGGAAAGCTGCAGAAGAATTTTCCAGCAGTGGTAAGAAGCAAACTGAAGAAGGCGGCCACACACTGAATTAAATTCTCAGTCTTGATGGAACAGGTATCTGTTATGAATGCATGCATCAAAAGACTCAGATCTGAAAGACAGAAAACACTCTAGGTAGGGTATAAGGGTTTGAAAGGTAGCGGCATTGTCATGTTCAGCACCAGTGCCAGGAAGAGGCTTGGAGCTGAAGCCACTGGAGTTTATCACTTACCAAACTGAGCCTTTTAAAAGAAATTCTCAGTCAGCCTTGGAGTTCGCTACAGGTATAGCAAAAATGGATGGCCTGCCCAAATCTGCACTGATGTTGTTACTTAATTCTTCTCTGTTGTAGAGGGTTATTGAAAAAAAAAACCCTATGTGTTTTTCCATAAAACTTAGCTTTTAAAATTCTCATAATTCATCAAGCCTAGCCCTCTATAAAAGCTAAACCCAAACTTTTTCTTCCCTTTTTTCCTTTTTTTCCCTTGAAAACCACCTTTGCAGACAGCCCCTTGATAAAAAGGTGATAGTAGTATTTATGGCTTACTGTTGAAAGTGGCCATTTAAGGTGCTCATTGCTGTTATTGAAGGTGAGGATGCCAATACAGTTACGGAATTTTGGGAGAGATTTAACGTAGGAATGGCTGTTGCTGCCACTGCAGAAGCCTGGAGTGATAGGACCAGAGCGCTTGCGTTGTGTATCATGGAAAATTCCTCTTGATGTGTAGTTTTGAAGGATGTGATCCTTCAGAGAAACTTTTGAAAATCAAAACAAGATGTGTTGATTTAGGAGAACAGGTTGGATTTGAGGAGGTAGAAAATGAAGATGTTGAAGAGCTTCTAGGGTCCCAACCTGATGATCTAACCGCAGAAGACTTGGAACAGTTTGCTGCTCATGGCCATATGGATGTAGATGATGATGGTGGCTGATAATCATCAAAAGGCTATATTGTGACAGATTAATACATCAAGTTATCAATTTTTTGTTTGTTTTGTGGAAGATTAGCCCTGAGCTAACTTCTGCTGCCAATCCTCCTCTTTTTTGCTGAGGAAGACTGGCCCTGAGCTAACATCCGTGCTCATCTTCCTCCACTTTATATGTGGGACGCCCACCACAGCATGGCTTGCCACACAGTGCCATGTCCGTACCTGGGATCCAAACCGGCAAACCCTGGGCCACTGAAGCGGAATGTGCAAACTTAACTGCTTCGCCACCAGGCCGGCCCCCAAGTTATCAGTTTTTTAAGTGTTATTGACAATAGTTGTACTGGTTTGGAAATAATGGCTTTAATGCTGAACGTAGTAGGAGAGTCATGTGTGGCATCTAGATGAATTTGGAACTGTACAGGTAGCTTTAGTATGAAAGGAGGAGAGTAGCAAAGCTGCAGAAATTTATTTATTTGTTTATTTTTAAATTTATTATTGATATTTTCAGCCAGTACAGCAAAGATAACACAAGGACAATGAGCCATGCCTTTCTATAGCTGGTGCTAACATTTTTTTTTGGTGAGGAAGATTGGCCCTGAACTAACATCTGTACCAGTCTTCCTCCACTTTGTATGTGGGATGCTGCCGCAGCATGACTTGACAAGTGGTATGTAGGTTCATGCTCAGGATTTGAACCAGTGAACCCCGGGCCACTAAATCAGAACGTGTGAACTTAACCACTGTGCCACCGGTCTGGCCCCTGGTGTATTTTCTTAATCATTTAATGTGTGTAAAATTATTCTACCCTTTTGTAAGATTCCTTTCTCTTTTTTTAATGTGTTGCTGGTTTTTTTGAATGTTGTGCCTCTAAGATGATTTTTCTCACTGTAGTTTTCATTTTTATGATTTTGCACAGCATAGTAAATTTTAGAAATGCGTTTGTCTAATACGCATTTGTCTAAGAGCAGGACAGACTATAGTTGTCAGCAGAAGAGGACATGACCTTTCTTCAAAACCTGATCTCTGCTGTGATTTCTCCTCTTGGGGCTTGCCAGAGATTTCATACAGCATCTTTATTGGCCACAGATTCTTTGAGAATCATTGCATCTGCTTTCTGGTCACAAAACCCAGTTGGCACAACACCTCGTACTGCACCCTGGACCTCCTCCAGAGCTTTTTCTTAATCTGGGCCCCATTCATAACTGACAGTTTTTGTTTCGTTTTGTTTTCTTTTTTTTTTTAAAGATTGGCACCTGAGCTCACTGTTGCTGATCTTCTTTTTTTATCTTTTCTCCTTCTCCCCAAAGCCAGTACATAGTTGTGTATTCTAGTTGTGGGTCCTTCTAGTTGTGCTTTGTGAGACGCCACCTCAGCATGGCCTGATGAGTGGTGCCATGTCCACACCCAGGATCCAAACCTGTGAAACCCTAGGCCTCCGAAGCAGAGTACACGAACTCAACGACTTGGCCACGGGGCCAGCCCCCATAACTGTCAGTTTTAAAGATGACTTTGTGAACACATCAGAGCAGTACACACCGTAATGAGGTATACCTTCCCTCCAGTGTTCGATGAGGCCCACCAAGTGTTGTCCTTCTTTCTTAGAGGCAGATAACGTGAAGCCATTTGGCCTTTGTTTTTTCAGAGCAGAATTTGCAACAAGCTCCAGATAGGACCCCCATGAAATTCATGGAAGTGGTGGCAGAATTTGAGGATGGTTATTTCCTACTCTTTGGCATGCATATATCTATGTAAAATATCAACTGCTTCCTGCTCATCAAGTCCAGTCAGTGTGTTGTCTTCGGTGTAGAGGATCAAAGTGATATTCTGTGGACTGTACAAAACTGTCAAAGTCCTTGAGTACTATATTATGAAAGAAAGCAGGAGAGTCACCACAGGCTTAAGACATAAGAGTGTGTCTGTCATTGATCTTGCCCATGTGAAAACAAGTTGCTTCTGCTTGTCCTTTCTAATTGGATAGGGGAGAAAAAGCATCTGGCTGATTGATAACTGCATAGTTGTATTGATTTGCTCCAGTAAAAATACCACATCTGGTATAGCAGCTGCAATTGGGGTCATCACCTATTTCTTTATGATAACCTGTTAAGATAATTCTCCAAGACTCATCCAGCTTTTGTGTAAGTCAAGGAGACACATTACCATGGGATGGGATGGTCCTGTCAGTCTGCAGTTCCTTCAGGAGTGTGGTATTGCTGCTGCTGCCTGATGGGCAGTTCTAGGGACTTGGACTTCCTAAAATAATGGCCCTTACTCCACAGGTCAGGAAGCTAATATGGGATTTCTGCCAGTGCTTATGTCTATTCTAACTTCACGTTCTGGAACCAGAAAAATAACCCCAGGAAAGATTTGTATGCCCTGGGCCTACTGAGATAGGTTTGGGCCCAAACTCCGTGGGTCACCCAGCATCTGACAAGCTCCAGTTTAACCACTGGACTGCATAGCTATTTTCAGTCACCGGGGATTAGCAGAGCTGGCAGAAGCGTGGGATCCAAGAGCAAAGAGTAAACAACGGACACACCACCTACTGACTGTTTCATTTGTACTATCATATATTTGATTCCCAAAAGAGATTTACTATTTTCAAAATATTTTAACTTTTTTTTTAATTGAGGTGAAATTAAAATGAACCATTTTAGAATGAACAATTCACTGGCATTTAGTACATTGACACTAGTGCTCCTATCTAGTTCGAAAACATTTTTATCACCCATAATAGTATGCTGTACCTTTTAAGCAGTTTCTTGCATTCTTTCCTCCTCCCACTCCCTGGCAACCACCACTTGGCTTTCTGTCTCTATGGATTTCCCTACTCTGAATGTTTCATATAAATGGAATCATATTCAATATGTGACCTTTTGTGTCTACCTTCTTTCACTTAGTGTATTGTGTGTGAGGTTCATCCACATTGTAGTGTGTGTCAGTACTTCATTTTTTTTAAAGGCGGAATAATATCCATTTAGTGCATACTACAGTTTCATTATCCATTCATCCTTTGGTGGACATTTGATGTATTTAAAACCAGGAAAGTGCCATGTAAATGACTAAAGTTGAGGAAACACTTATGTAGCAGAGAAACACTGATAGAGAGTTAGGCACCTGAGTTCCTATTCGTACATCAGCTGGTTATTCTCCATCTGTGACCTTTAAAAGGCTTGTTCTTGGAGTTTCAGTGTTTTCAGCTATAAAGTGAGGATGGCGGAATGAATTTTTGAGGGCTTTGAAATGCTTTCTCCAAATATTAGTGTTTTACTATTCACCTGCTCGAAATCCTGCTGCTTTCTGAATGAAGACTGACCCTCAGTTTGGCACTTCAGGCCTAATGCTGTATTAGCTGTGGTTTAATTTTTCAGCCTTGTAACCTGTCCATGGTCTCTGCTCCAACCCAAATGGGCCGCTTACTATTATGAAAGTACATGCAGTTATCTTCTTCCTACTCCAGACTCCCATAGCATTTTATTTGTCTCTTGTCTTGTGGAAGGAACTTCATCTTACTTCTGTGTGCAAGAGAGAGATGTCACTCACAATTTAGTTGTTTCTATCTTAGGTAGTGAAAAAAAGGTAGCATACAGTTCTTGGTTAAGAAAGGAGGTGGAAGAGGAAGTATGAGACTATTCTTCTCTGTTTGTATAGCACGTGGTTCTAAGCAGAGTAGATAAATGGTTTTTGATTGACTAAAATACAAAATTTTTCTTATGCATAAACCCAAGGAATCTGTTTTTGCTTAAATGTAGAATTTGAACTGTTTTCTTCAAGTGAAGTTAAGTGAGAAGAAAGAGATGTGTGTATGAATAGCCACAATCATTCCCAGATTCATTTTTAATTTATATATTAGTTTCATGTAAGTTTCTTTAGCATTGTGTCACTTTTATGTTGTGACTGAGCAATTAATAATTAAGCCATTCTGTGAATCAAGACTGAAGTAGAAGCAAACTTCTCTCTCAGTATGTGAAGCTTGTGGCAGGGTGTGACATTGTGAGTATGGAGGACGTAATTGAATCACTTTTTTTTTAATTTACCGTTAGCTTGGAGAGACTTCAGTCTTTGAGAATTATTTTGAGGAACTTTCTAGTTTTTTAGCAGATTCATCTCATTTTGAGCACTATAGGAATGAAGTATGAGTTATTAGGTATGCAATCAAGGTCTTTCACTGATTGTAAACCAGCAGTATTTTTTATCCTTAAAGATATAAATCTGTCAATTTTCCCGTGAACGAAAAGAAACATTTTTGGATTCTTCCAGTCAAATGTGGTAACTCCCAGTTCGTCTAAATACAAATGTAATTGTCTTAAGGTTATTGTTATTGATCTTCTCTGAAATTGGTTCTCTTTTTTTTTCTCCCCATTAGGGAGAGGAATCAAATGAGTCTGCAGAATCTAGCAGTAATTGGGAAAAGCAGGAAAGTATTGTATTGAAATTACAAAAGGAATTTCCCAATTTTGATAAGCAGGTGAGTAGCCACACACGAAATTTAATCAGCATGTACCAAATGTTTCTATTGCAAGACAGTGTTGTAGATCAACCGTGTAAAAGCTTAGTATGAGTTTTGCATTTTTGTAATTAGTTATTCTCCTTTATCGATATTATAACGTATTTTTATACTGCTTGTTAATTTTTTCCGTTGTTTATTTCTTTATTCGTGAGCTGTGATATCCACATTATGACCATAATCATAACAAACATAACTGTAATAACAACTGTGAACTCAAGTATAAATGTAGATCATCCAAAAGCCATCTATAACGCCAGGTCAACAGTTTGAGCTTTTTTCATATTCTCATCTTTCAGATTTCTCATAAAGAATTTTGAAGTGTGATCCTGCACTTCAGTGTTTTAATACTCCATAAACTTTGTTCTATTTGCCAGATAGTAAGAATACTTTCAGAGTCAGTGAAGACCTGTGCCAAGCATGCCGGTGTTAAAAGGGCCTATGTTTAACACATGGTCGTATATGGAAGCATGTTATTTAACATTTGGAATACACGTACGCTTGCATTGGTTTACTCAGATATGTGCACAGGTGGTACATCTGGTGAATTCCGATAAGCTGAATGCAGAGTCTCGTTGCTACACTGGTCCTTTACGTGTGTTGAAGCTACATGTCTTGGAG